AAAAAAAGTGCATAAAAGTTGTAAAATCTACGCTTAAATAAGAGTGAAACATTGAGTTGATGCCAGTGCACTCAAACGGCACCAACACGAAACACTCATCATCACTTATCAAAACTGACTTGCTCTGTTTCCCCCATATCACTTCAATGTAATCTTTGTTCAATAGTTACATCAATGTTGTACTGTATTTTATAATTTACGACCACATGTTTCAAAGTCTTTTGTTTACTTTTACTTGTTATTTTGTTCAACCAACATAGTTACTTGGCAATCCTTAAGGCCAATGTTAAATTTTTTAATTTTCAAACGAGTTGTGTAGCGAAATACGAAGTTTCCTGAGGTAGTGGCTGTCACCAATCACGTTTTTAAGGCCATAAAGCCCCCCACACACTACCAGACCAGACCTCCAGACCAGACCGTCTGGCTGCAACCAGACCGTCTTGGACTGCTCTACACACTCCCAGACCAGACATTCCAACATTCGAAATTGAGACACTGTGGTGAGAACTCCAACAAATAGATAAAGACTGTTACGACGGTCTGCCGTCTGACAGACAGCCCTACACACGTTAAGACAAGTGCCAGACGCCAGACCAGACGGTCTGGTCTGGTAGTGTGTAGGGGGCTTAAGTCCCTAATTTCAATATTTAGCCAAAATCCTTCAGCTGGATTTCGAGATATATATTACAGGCAGACAAACAGAGAGAGCTCGTTAGAATATAGTATTATGGCTCTCACAGTGTAGGACTATACAGCTAACATAGATTCTGCCATTTTTAAATCTAGTCTTTGATCAAATTAATATTAATCCAGAACCAAGCAACAGGGACCTTTTTTCATGACAAACTACAATTACAAGTTTTAACTTGTAACTTTTAATTTCCATTAATGTAGATTTGCATTGGGCGATCAGCTGATTTACTAATAATATTAGTTTTCCTACAGTTACCTGACTAAATGGACTTCCTTGCACTGTTATTAGCACGCAAAGAAGCTATAGTTCGGCCGCTTAGAAAGCGACCTCCTCCAGCATTGGTTTAGCATTAGCGCGCAGGTCGTTTTCTAAGCGGCCGAACTATAATTGTTCCATTTACTTAGGAATACTTAAACTTTTGCCGCACTTATTATTTTTCCCGTACTCCAGTATTCCAACCAAACAACACGAAACAGCGTTCTTTTATTAGGCACGTAATACAAGTACGCTTGAAAATAATTTGGCAACACTTAAAGATACTACGTACGACTATGATCAGCTGGTGCGGCGTTTCTCATTTAGTTCATTGTTTGGATTTAACCTAAACTAAAAAACTTGTTGAATAGTGTTTGAAAAATTAATTATTTAATATGCTGTAACTGTAGGAAAAATGTAATGTGTAATGCGAGTTCAAAGTGCCTTTGCTGCACTCGAGAAACCTTCCACACTTGCCTACGACTTGTGGGTAAACATTTCTCTCATGTGCAGCAAATTGCCACTTCACACTATTGTAGTCCATTATGAAACAGGCCCCTGGTCAGACTTATTTAATTTCAACAAACAAAAGCTTCGTTCTTCAATAATGAATAATGTTTTTGAAATTTTAGTACCAGACTAATGAACCAACTTCAGATCTTGAGACATATCTCATCTTATCTACCAAGGTTTTCCCTGTGTTTTCCTCAATCCCCACCTGATAACAATGTCTCTTACTTACCATACAGTCCGCCAACAATATTAATGATTTCTCTCAAACTTGTAGTGTAGATGTTTTTTACCCGTAAGTGCTACACATAGCCAAGGAACAATGAAAGACAAATCTGTGGGTTTTTGCGATATAAAACTGGGCTATTGTGAACGTGAGTAGTGAATCCACATTTGCAATATATAGTATTTGAATTTAAAACAAATTTTAACTTTACGCTTATATTGGCTCTCAGTAATGAATAAATTTAAGTTGATTCATTATGTTTTTATTCAAACAGTATATTTAAGGATCAAATTAAGGAAAATTTAAGGAGCAAATTACCAATAACTTTGAAATAATATTGATTCAATCAGTAGGACTGTCTGAAAAATGAAGGTGATTTTACATTATGGTATACTGTAACACTAACACTTTTATTAACCGACTTCCCCAATACCAACAAAAGGAGGAGGTTCTCAATTTGTTTGTGCCGATGTTTTTTTTTTCTATGTATGTTCACCAATTTCTCTGTGATTCTTTTACCGATCAGTGTGGTTCCACCACCAAAATAACCAGGAGAGTTTCTATTTGGTACCTTATATATTATGTTTAATATTTGTTTGGGTGAAAAATTCTGAAAACCTTAAATATTCAACATTTATTTTGTTTACATTTGTGCAGATTGTTTACATTTGTGCAGAGAATGCAATAAATAATAATAACATTCCTACAGCTGTTAGTTGAAACCATTTAAATTAAGCTACAGACAATTCTTCATGAAACAGTTGCTTCATATTGATCAATAAACTATTTCTTGCCATGGAGCCTAAATGAATTACATTGAGAAAAATGCATTTTGTTTTGGTTACTATAAAAAATGTATTTTAACGTTTGATCTGATTTGTGTATACAGTAATTCTGTTTTTAGTATTGGATATTCTGACTTACAAAAACATATATGTTTCAGTGAATAGCTTTATGATATTGACAAATAAAGGTGTATTGTGGAAACCAAAGCATTCGTAAAACAGGTCTAAATATAAATTAAATGCAATTATTCCTTACACGACCTAAGAAGTGTGACAGTGCATAATCGTCAATTGTCTTAAAAGTGTTAGATATTTTAATTACTAAACATGCATTTGCAAATGTGGAATGTTTATTGATATTCTCTACCCAGTTACTATATCATATCAATACTATTATGCCTGCTTCGGAAAGTCCTAGAGGAAGATGATTTGCAATTTCGACTAGGCTATATCTTGATCAAACAAAACCCCCTACATGACTTACACCACTTTTAGCTGAACCAATCTTTCATATAATATTTTCCAAAGGTACTATACGTGTTAACAACCAATTTTCCACTTTTGAGAGATTTTTTAGTGCTGGTAGCTGAGGAATAACTTTCATATTGTTCCAAAAGGCTTGAGACGTTACTGTATTTCTTTTTATAATGTAGACGTACACCGATTGCAGGAAACGATGATGTCTGACATTTCAATGTATCTAAAAAAGACAATTAGTTTTTCATTAGGCCTAATGTAATGGACAACTCTTTCTTTCTTAAGGAATATCTAAAAATGTGTATTTTCATACCCATTGATTATGTAACCTGAACATGTGACTCCAGCAGTTTTAAAATAATGATTGTTCTGTGGAACTTTTGATTGTTTCAAACAGTTTTGCTTATCAAAAAACCTCAAGTACATAAAAAATTATACAGTCACTAAAAATCATAAAATAATTTATTTTTGTAAAAAAATACAACCGACTTCAAACGCTCTAAAAAGAATGAAATAATTTCAATAAAGTAAACTTTTGTATTAGGCAAGCTCACGTATTTCAAGTCGGCGCGGCTCAAACTACAAATCACAAATGTTCTATATGAATAGGAAAATAATTTAGTTTGATATTATGATAGGGAAAAGAAGCTAGTTTAGTATTAAAACGTTACTTTTCCAAGTTAGAAACATTTAAATGCGTTATAATCTTTTTAAAGATACTCGTTAATACCACTATAATGCCGATCTCTGATTACGGTAATAAAATAACACTTAACGCATAACTATGAAAAATACATGCAGATTAACACCTTTAGTTATAGATAGTCACCTGCAATATGGACACCCTCTTTAAATTGTGTATCAAAAATCATCATAGAGCCGCGCCGACTTAAAATACGTGAGCTTGCCTAATACAAAAGTTTACTTTATTGAAATTATTTCATTCTTTTTAGAGGGTTTGAAGTCGGTTGTATTTTTTTACAAAAATAAATTATTTAAGTTTGAATCCAATTTCCCAAAAAGTTAAATCAGTAAACAATTAGTGGACATGTGTGGACGTAAGTGGTGACATGTGTTGTACCAACTTTTATTAGTTTAGTCATTGCTGTCTTGGTCAAATGTGGTTGATGGTTAACCACTTATCAAATTATCAATTGAGTTAGGGACGCCACCTAGGTGTATTTTATTAACCCAAATATGAGTAAAGGATGAGTGTAGAATGGTGTGTGATGATCTGTGTGGCTTTTAACTGGCTATGATCAGCTGTTTCACTAGCCAGGATCATTTATTCAAAGCCCAATGATCAGGAACATCTGGGTCCAATTTCGAACCATTAAAAAGCTACTGACTTTTCTCAGAATTGATCTGGCAACCTTTTAATTGTTAGGCGAGCACTATAATACACAGCTATAAAATGATTCTGCTTAATAAAACCGCTAATATTATTCAGATACATAGTTACACAAATCGTCTCAATCCATTTTACACTCATTCTTCACTCATATTTGGATTAAACACACACCTATGTAGCGTCCCCATCTCAATGATTGATAATTGAAATAACTGTGTACTACTGATGACTAATACCATTGATTCTGGAACACTGGATTAGAAGTCCCAACCATGTGGACCAGATGTAGCATTTCATTATTAACAGAATAGATAAATGAGCCACTCACAATTTGCTACTCTGCTACTGTCTAAAGTTATATTTCCTCCTGTAGCTATTCTTACGGAGATAATTGATTAAATTTAAAAGATGCTATACCGTTAAGTACCTTACAATAAGTCTTCCTATCGGTTTGACATGGTTTTAAATGAGGTGTGTTCAACTTAAATAATTTACATCAATACTCTCAGTTTGTGATTCAATTCAACTACTTTACTGTACTGTACGCATTTTTATTCTATAATCTGTGACAACTTTAAACATTAAATGGAATGTTTAGTTTCATCAATTAGCGATCCTGCACCCAAGTACAAGCCACTAACCCAGGAATCAGTTTAGGATTGATTGATTTATGTGATGTATATTGTTGTTGTATTGTTTCAGTGGTTGGGATGAAACTGGTGCCGTCACTGCCCCCGCTCAATGCCCCCAGCATGGAGAGGCTGTCACTTTTCAACCCCTCGGATCTGCTGTGGCGATACCCTTCCATAAACTTCCCCTCTCCCAACCCTGTTTGTAACTATGTGCAGATGGACTTCAAGACTCACCTGCCCTCCAACCTAGGTGAGTCCCAAAACTTCTAACTGCTGGTGTAAATAGACAGCAATCACAGAAATCTCATTATCTGTGTCTTATGGAATTAGCACAAGCTATGCTGTTAGCAACACTTCTTAAATTATTTAAATAAACTGAACATCCAAAGAAAATCTGGTAATCTAAAGAAAATATCTTTAATCAACTCAAGAATGAGTTCCGAGCAAGATGAGGATGCCAAAGCGCTGCACCAAACAGTAGCCCACTTGCTATCTTGTGGTATCAGCTAGAAAATTATAGCCCTCAAGGGGGTGACTTACTAGAAGAATTTAAATAATCAGGCTCTCCCAAAAAAAAAAACTTTAAAAAATTTGTATACTCAAAAATGAGGTTTTAATATATTTTTTACAAGATGTTGCACACAAACTAAGTGTAGCTATTCAAACTTTTAATATGTTATAGAAAATAGTCTTAACTTCTTTTCAATGGATTTTAAAGTTTGATGGTGATGACAATAGTAAAATACAGTATAGATTGAGATGTCAACTATCATTCTAACTATAATTATAAATGTATATTGATGTTGAACCTCATTTGAATCATTGATTGTTGATTCTTATTTAATCAACGGTTTGACAAAGATCGATGATTGTTGTTTCTAAGGTTTAGTGATTATGAATTTTCACCTGTACATGTAGATTGTAATGATTGGATGGTTGTAGGTGGAGACCCGAGGCTGTGGTCTAGAGAAGATGTGGTTGCGTTTCTAAGGTGGGCCGAGTATGAGTTTGACCTGCCTCCTTTCGACCTGGACATGTTCCAGATGAATGGTGAGTCTGAGTCGGCCAATACTCTGATGTTTAACTGTAAACTACTGTGTATAAAAAAAAATTAATCTCGGTGTAAACATAGTGAAAGCCTGATGGGAAAGTTACTTATTAGAAGAGGTTAGATTTTATCACACGAATATCCTTCCTAAAATTACTTAAGTCTATGAAAAGTTAATCTATTCTTTTTCACTAGTATCGTATATATTTTACACTTATATAAAGAACGTATGAGCACAAATTTCGATACAGCAATGAACTACAATTGTTACAAACAGCCATGTTAATGGTTTTAGGAACTTTCAAAGTTGAACTTACCAAATATATTCCTTAATGTAGTCTTAGCATTTCAAGTAAATGGATAGAAACGTTTTATGATGAATGACACACTCACTATATTGCTACTACAGGTGACCCTCCACAGTTCAAATACATGTTTCCACAGAAGGCGTTGTTTAAAATCCTAAATTTCTAATATTTATGAGAAAGTTAATAATAAAGAGTGGACACAAATTAGGAAAATGAATCTTAACCAAAACAAACTCTAAGTAACGAGGAGTTGATTAGCCGGTTGATGTTTTGCAGGTAAGGCTCTGTGTCTCCTGACCAAGGCTGACCTGGGAGAGCGCAGTCCAGGCAACGGAGACGTGCTACACAACGTGCTGCAGATGCTCATCCGAGACTCCCGCACTCTGCCTAGCTCTCCTCTCACCCCACACTTCCCCCTCACTCCCTCGTGGTCCTTCTCTGCCGCACCCGCACTGGACTACCCTCACCCATCCACTCCCCCCGCCACGTCACTCAACAGTGTGACACTCAGCCCCGCACCCAGTGTAGACAGCCAGGCCGGCAGTCCCCGCCACATGGAGCCCTACCCTGCACTCAACAGTGAGTTTCACAAAAAACATGTTCTGCAGTATGATTTAGTATGGAAAAGGTACAACTAACATGAATAGAGTCACTGGTGGCTGAGATAAATATTGAAATTCATTACAGTAGAGTGGTATTATCTGACCTTATTTGATGTGGCGTGGTGAAATAATCAGAAATGTTAGATAACATGGAGAAATCCCTCAGATTAATATATTTTCCCGCTGTCAAACCCATTCAAAGCTTTGGATTTGTCTTCATTCACACCACTAACATTTCTGTTTTAAATTGTCGGGATAAATAAACCAACACGAAGACAAAATTATCATTATCATCATCAATTAGGATGCAGATGCCAACTATGTGTGTATTTTAACCCAAATATAAGGGAAAGATGAGTGTAGAATGTAGTGAGATAAATACCACATAAAATACATACATTGTTATAATGTGTAACAGTAAAAAGATCAAGTGAACTCAGCCTTTGGTCTCTTATTCTCCTGCAACTAAGACATGACAGGAAGCTAGCATATGGAGTATGCAAGCATGATGAGTTAACTGACTAATGGCCTTTGTCCTATATAGCTTGCTAAAACAATAAGAAAGTACAGGTTTAAAAAGTCTGGCTTGTATTTCCATTTCTTGAGATCAGTCAATGGCTGTAAAGGGGTTGTCTCTATGTACCTACCGTGACTCCCTACTGTGTGCTGTTCCACACAGAATTAGCATGCAATTACATGGTACAGTTCGTCCACAGAGAGGTTCAGATAATATGGATGTTGAATAACCAAAAATCAGAATTAATCCTCGAAACTCTATTGTAAAAAACTTTGTGTTTTTGTCTCCTTATTAGAGAGAATAAAGGTTGGAAAAAATAATTAAATTTTAAATGGAGTAGAGTATCCTTTAAGTCTAGTGTATATGTACCAGGGTCGAGCTGGTCAAGTGGTAGAGAGCGAGACATCTGTTCCAGAAATCTCAGGTTCAAATCCCACCAATCACCGATGAATTTCATTAAGGGATAAATTCTCAACCTCTTTGGCCTAGCCTTGAACCCACACCTCCTGTGACAGTGTAATGAGAGACATGTGTTGCAGACTACGGCAGCACGCCACAGCACGGAGTGAGCAGTGGCAGTGGTGGAGGTAGTTCTGGCAGTAACCAGTCAGACAGTGAGGTAGAGGAGGCCCCGCGACCTCCCGCCACTCCTACACACAACCCCCGCACACCTCCGCCACACTCACCTGCCTCAACCAAGGGAGTGGCGTCTGCGTTCTTCCCTGCGGAACCTATCACTGAGCCCAATACAAGTGAGTGTCCTGTTTCTGCTAGTCAATAATGAAAATTTTTTTTGCTAAGGGTCGATTTGCTCGTAATATTTGTCCTTGTTAGAAATAAATTAAAAAGCTAACCACATAAAGTATTACAATAATTATCTTTTTTGTTAGATTTCCTGTTCTTGTAGGTAAGAAAGATGTTTGTGTCATACTATGCATTCTGCCACCTTGTGTGACATCTTTAGAGTGGTCTCCTTGTGATTTCATCTTCTTATCACTAACACTACTATTTATTTACAAAAAGATGGTAAAATGCATTGGGTAACACAAACATGTTACCTACCTACAAGAACTCAGTTAACAACAGCAAATTAAGGTAAATCTAATATAATTTAAGTTCTTGAAACTGGAATAACAGAAATATATTTTATCACATCTGGATTCAAAATTACCTTATTTAATTTGGATCTCGTCTCAAATAATAATTTTGATTGTCTTTGTTTACATTTATTTACCATCTATATAAATAAAATTAGAGTTTTGTCTGTACATTGCTCAGAATTATATATTTTTAGGTTATTTTTACGTCTTATACATTAAATAAGCAGAAACGAGTCTTATTTCAATTTCTGTCTGTCTGTCTGTCTGTCTGTCTTTCCCTTTGTCTGTAACACTCAAGATGGCATTTTACGCAATCTTCTCCTGGAAAACGAGAGTACCTATCAAGATCCAAGTCATTTTAATGTATTCACTGGATTGGCGAGATTGTCTTTAGCCATTATAATATGGCCTCACTACTTTGTAAATAATATTGCGAACGTTCAAAAATGCAGTTTTGTGCGATTTATGTCAAGTTTTCGTCCAATTTTCATTGCATAATCATCTATGAAATAACGAACAGCTGTTCGGATGAAGATTATTTTTCCTAGCTATCATATCATACTAATATTATAAATCTGAAAGTTTGTGAGTTTGTGTGTATGTTTGTGTGTGTGTTGCTCAATCACGCATAAACTACTGGACGGATTGGGCTGAAATTTGGCATGATGATAGCTCACATTCCCAATTAACATTAAAGCATATTCTTATCTCAAAAACCCTTTCGGGCTCCGCCCCAGTGGCTCTGTAGTTCCCCATGTTAATCTTATGAATTTTCATATTTAAAAGGAATTAATGAATCTTAACAGCTGTTTCAATTAAACAAGTTGGTTCTGTTCTATGATATTCAATAGCATAAAAGTTAAAAGGATTACCAACAGGGTGCAGCACTATTAATTTTTTTTAAATATATGACAACAGCTAATTTCCAACCAAAAGGTGAGTGAGCGTAGCGAACGAACTTCAACCTGGAGGCGAGTTAGCGTAGCGAACGAGCTAACCTCAAGGCAAGTGAGCGCAGTGAACGAGCTCCAACCTAAAGGTGAGTGAGCGTAGCGAACGAACTTCAACCAGGACGTGAATGAGCCATGCGAATACTTATGAAGTTAAACGGGGCGAAGCCCGCGGGTACAGCTAGTTTATTAACTAAATGTCTATTTAATCTATGTCTGCAAGTAAATCTTTACTTAAATATTACAGTTACATCTAGACTTATGTACTGAAAAATCATAAAATAGTGGAAGAAATTTCATAATCTCTTAGTTCTTTTTTTTATAAAATAACTGCATCCTCAAGTCCTAAACATCTTGTACAAACTCTGAATAAAGGATTACACAATATTGATTAAAAACTTGTCATGAGGTTGTCATGAGGTGTTGGTCAATTGCAATAATTCCTTTGACCTTTTTCAAAGTTTAAATTAGACAAATTCTTAAATAAATTAATAGATCTATTAATTTAATAAATTAATAAATTAATAGATTAATAATTTATGTTTTCTAGATGGGCGACTCCTGTGGGACTTCTTACAACAGTTGTTGAACGATTCACTGCAGAGATACACAGCCTACATTGCATGGAAGAACAGGGATCTGGGGGTGTTCAAGATTGTAGACCCTCCCGGGCTAGCAAAACTGTGGGGCATCCAGAAGAACCACTTGAGTATGAACTACGACAAGATGTCACGAGCGCTGCGGTACTACTACCGAGTCAACATCCTGCGCAAGGTCCAGGGAGAACGCCATTGCTACCAGTACGTATATCAAGCTGACTCTTGCTGCTAAACACAATCATTTCACATTTTACTTTATTTATTTTACCTTATTGTGTAGTATTGTTGAATTTTGCTTAGGGAATCCTGTGGATGAACATCAACTGCAAAGTAGGAGACTTGAGGCTCGCATTGGATTAAAAAATCGGATTCTGCCTGATATAAATTAAGATAAAAATAAAGCTTGGGTTGGGGCAATTATATTAAGAGTCCGTTCCATTTTCAAGTTAACTATCATCCTTGCAATTGCAGAAAGTGCCTGTTGAAAATTGAGGTGTTCGCCGCGATCGCAGGTAATGTGTTTTTTTTTTTTTTATCGCAGAAGATGTTTTTGATTTCGCTGCATCAGCGAATACGTTTTCAATTTCAGTGTGACCACCAGAGACGATCAAGGTTTTGCGATGAAAGCGGAAAATGACAGTACCTATTGTATAGACCAGTTATTGCACCATAGTGAATGAATATTTTTAATACTTTTCAGATATACTTAATTTTTTTGCCTTAAACCTGTAGGCCACAATTTTTTTTACAACAACATCGTTAACAGACAAAAACACAATTTTGAAGCTAATTATTTTTTCAGTGTAAGTCTATTATAAGATTAATCTTAATATGAGGTATATTCATCATTTTCTAACAAAAGCTATAATTGAAGGTTCCTCCGTAATCCGAGTGAGCTGAAGAGCATCAAGAACATCTCATTGTTGAGACAGCAGATGTCAGGCAGTGATCAGCAGCAGTCTCAGCAGCAGCAGCAGCAGCAGCCTCAGCAGCAACAACAGCAAGTGGTGGTAAAGGCAGAGCCTGGAGACTCGGTAGAAGATGACCTTAGACCCACAGACCTCAGTATACCTCAGCACTTCAGGGTCACTGCTGACTTTGAGTGAGTATTCCACCTGTTTGGACATAATCAATTATTCCCAATTATCTTTATTGTTGTCTACAAGGAAGATGATATCAAAAATAGGACAGTGTCTCTAAGTTTCGTTGTACACACTTATTCTCAGTTTGCACGATTTTGCATATGATACACAACAGTATTTTTGTTTTGGAGTTAAGTTTAAGTTTTCAACCTTCCCAAAAACCAAAGTTTTATTCAGATAAAAAAATGTGTTAATTTGGTTGCAAAAATTTACCCTCCTCATTTTACAAAACTTTACTTTTGTGTTGTACAGCACATTGCCTCAATGAGGACTGGCAGTTTTCAATACAGTAGTGAGGACTATCTGTATTTGCAAAAATTAACAGTTTCAATCGTATTTTTCATAACACCTCAGCAATTTCTATTGTTCTATTGTTGTTGTTGTGTGGTGTTGTTAGTATTGTTGTGTTGCTAAGAATAATTGTTTTCACTTTGAAAATAGTATTGCAATCATCTATGTTATTGCTAGTACAAACAACCTTAACTAAAATATTTGTTTTATCAGGTACCTGCGCAACCCGAGTGAACTGAAGATCATGAAGAACCTTCACACACTGTGGGAGCAGAGGACGGCGGCAGCAGCAGCTAACTCCACTCAGGCCTCGGAGAGTCAACCACGCGACCTGTCTCTGTCACTTAACCTGCGCGCGGCCGAGGACTCTTCGCAGACTGCAGAGACGCAACCTCGCGACTTGTCACTCTCTCTCAACCTGCGCGCCACAGAGGACCTTCCTCGGCCCCAGGACCATCCCTTGCCTCTCATCAAGACGGAGGAGACCGATGCTGTCAGGTCATAACACTGTGATATAGACACTCCCGTGTGCTCGTGATAAAAGACGTTACATTACGCGACTAAGTTATTTCTACAGGGCGTCCACTCAACATCAACCTTGTCTTTCTGGAGTGAAATGTTGTGCGGGTTTTCTCATGTACATTTATCTGTTTAGAGTATATAGTAAATTATAAGTTATGCAGTGTTATCTCCACAACAGGATGCTGTTTTTGGAGATTATAAATCACCAAGGTTCTTTCAGTTTACAGTATGTTTGTCTATGACCAATGTAATTTTCATCAATAGATTTTACCACTAATTGCAATCAGTTCATTTTGTAAAATGTAGCTCAAATGTTTCCGTTTGTGTTTTAAGTTATGACCAGGCTTATTGCTCAATGATAAGATCATAATTATTTAGTATTGATTTTAAATTGATTAATTTTCCGTTATGGTTATATTTTACTTCTTTTATTAAAAATTGTGTTGTAACTACATTCTTGTGTTAATTGTAACTTGTAGGCTCCCAGTTATCCCACCAAGATGTAATAGTTATAAAAGCACTTTTTCACAATAAAGGGATTCTCCTCAGTTAAATGTATACAAGATTTGTACTGCCATCTTGAATTAGTTTGATTTGTTATTTTGTCAGCATTTCCTTCAGTTATTCAGAATTGCATTTACACATTGTGTTACTTGTTCTTAGAAGGTTATTTAAATTTTATTTACCTTTGAAGAAAGATTTTTAAAGATATTTTTAATAATTTGATAAATTGTTACCTAAAAAATCCATGTTTGAAAATATAAGCTCCATAAATAAACAATCAATTTGGTCTTTAAAAGAATGTGATCATTTTTTAAGAGGTAGTATTTGATACTCTCGTTTAAAAATTTATGTTAAAATCTCTTTTTTTTATTTCAAATTGTGAGCTAAATACATCTCAAATTAACTATTTAAATTTTATTTTGTACTTCTGAAATTGATTATACAATAATTGGTTTATTAAGTGTAGTAAGTAATATTATCTCAATATTAGCATTCATGTTTGTGCTCATCTTAATTTTTAATAATTTAAGTAAATGTAAAAAATAACAAAATTTTAATATTAAATTAAAATTAAAATACTATATTTTTGTGAACTGAAAATGCAAGCGGTAAAGTGCTGTAAATATTGGGAGAATTCAACTATGTTAGACCTACCAATATAGTGATAAGTTATGTGCTTCCTTTAGATTTTTATTATGTGATTAGAGCGAATCTTCACAGTCTTCCTTTCCTTAACTTTTATTGTTGCTTGAATACACTCTTGAAATCTGTACAGAAAATATTCAGAATATCATATATTTTTTGGCTTTTGTCTTCGTTAAATTTGTCTACTTTCTGACCTTCAGCTTTAAGGTTTTACCATTTATTTACCTATTGTAAACCAGCTCAATGTCATCATTGTTAAGACATAGATATATATATATTTAGTTAATTATTTTAATATTAGTCAGAAAGTTTAGTTTCATATTTATTTAAAACAAGTGACATAGGCCTACATGTCTTAAGTATGATAAATATATGAACTGCCAAATTAACTTTTAACTGTCAACGAACATGACAACGAATTGTTACGATTTTTATATCAAGAATTGAAATCACTTTAAACAGAACGAAAATTGTTAGTGTCTAAATGAGTTTAGTCGATCTCTTTTTTAAATCGTCCGGGTAACAGAGATATATATGTGTAAATAGTGATAGTGAGTTATATAAATAGTATATTAAATCTAGAAATACTTTTGTTTGTTGGTTTTGAAATTTTAAAAACTGTTTGATGTTGTAAAAGCAACAAAGCATTGTGGGTGACAACAATCAAACGAGAGATCTCAAAGTGTTTAACAACATTTGTATTTAATGTTTTGTACATTTGTGTCAGAGTTTAAATGTTAAGACATAAACTGTACAGAAACGCTTGGGAAACATTTGAGGGTGGTTACACCCAATGTATTTTGCGAAAAATAAAATAAGAAATATTTTGCTACTTTGGTATTTTATTTTAATTCCTATATGGTTGCACAAGTATAAACTCGCATGATTAACAAGTTAATTACATGTTATTGTTAATCAACTTTATTTATATAACCAATGTTTTTCTCATAATTATTCTAAGAACATTTGGAGGTGTTGTTTTGATCAACATTTTTGAGTTTGAGTTTTGGTTGGAAATTGTTTTGGCTCCCTCTGAATGATGGGTTTACAAAAAGATGTCTGAGTTTGTGGTTGTGTACAGAGCTTCAGACTATACATCTGTGATCCAATTTTTATGAAATTTGGTACGTTGGTACTTATCCAGAGTAAGTTATCTGGGTGCCATTTTTTTTTTTTAATTGTAATGATAAATGTTGGTTTTTCCATGAAAACACATGAAACAACAAGATGGGATTTACCCAAAAACGGCTCTTAGGACCTACGATTTTGATTGAAATCTAGTTTAGTCCTTCCTTTTAAGCTTGAACAAAATGGCCCAATCCCTGACACTGTACAATTACAGTAAAAAAATTATTGTCATTTTTGACTTCCTCCAGTTAGTTACCCAGTAAACAGGTCATAAAAGTAGTTTCCATTTAATGTTAAGCAGAAGCAAATGAATAAAAAGGAAATATCAGTTGTCTGATACCTTTACTTATTGATTAATAAATCGTCAAACTGTTCATAAAAACTTAACATAGTAACATTCTTATCTATATATTACTTACGTATGCCCTTTGTGTCAAAATTGTGGGCGACTGGGAAGTCGTAGGATGACGGGAGAGGCCGTCATTCTAAAAGGTCTCGATCCCGTGACGGCGGGAAAAATAGTGAAATTCCAAAAATTTTAAGACAAAATTAGATATGACGTAAAATTTTTTCCATAAGAATGGCGTTAGAAGCCATTTACTGCTGATTTTTGTTTACTTAAATACAGCTGATCTTAATATATCATTAAGCCAGTAAGCAATATTAATATTACATTTGGATTACTCATTTGCCAGTCAATTCTCAAATGTACTGTATACCATGGTGGAAGGAAAATACATAGGTGTGCTATTTCCGTTTGTACATTTGAATTATTAAATTGTACATTAGTATTAGCCTATGCTGACGTCACCCAGATTGCAAACAAAAAATCACCTGATTGTGTTGCCATATAAGTATATATTTGTTTTGATTTGATTGTTATTGTTTTTATAATTTTTCTAAACGGTAAAATGGTGTTTGCAATCTGAGTGACGTCAGCATTTTATGACGGGAATAGCTCACCTATGTATTTTCCTTCCACCATGGGGCAGAGCATGGGTAATTTTTGACACTTCTGATATTTTTCCCACTGCCCTTGGACCTTAAGGCCCCTTTTATTCACCGCAGTTGCCCGCTGACCGCTGCACCAATGTGTCACCTGCGATTGACCAGAAATCATCAGTCATCAGAAATTATGACTGTTATTCGTAAATGCATTGCCGTAAATGGGTGTTTTTATTCAAATAGGAGCGGTTTCAGAAGTTGCGGGTAGCCACGGAGGTTTGTAAACTCACCCGTTTATACTTAGAAACCGCCGGTGGGTAGCGGTTCGTATATGCATTGTGTTATATGGGATTGTTTATTCAACGCAGGAGCCCGCCGTCGCTCTCGCATTGCTGCCAACCCAAGTCACCAGTGTCACTCACTACACGTGGTGTAGTCATTCGGCTGTGCGCATTGTCTAACAGCTAGCATTTAACGCATTTAATTCCGCAAGATGGTGTGATATGCTGGATGCTCTGGAGAACACCTGCCACGTTCCGGCATACCTCATGCGCAAATAGAGGATCATCTCCAATTCCGCCTCCTTATGTATGACACTATATGGAAGGCCCGCGGACCGCGGACGATGAGTGTCACTTCCGGTGCTGTGCCCAAGGTTCCACACTTGGCCCAGACCTCTGGAATGTCGCTTATGAAAGCCTTCTGAGGTCTGAAATGCCTGAGGAAACTGTTTTGCTTGGGTACGCAGACGACGTCGTAGCTTTGATGGCTGCACGTAGCGTTGAGCTGGCTCAGCTAAAGTTGAACCGAGTTATGCGTACTGGTACTATTAACGCATGGATGGCAGACCACAGCCTCTCGCTCGCTTTGAGCAAAACTGAGATCGTGATTTTGACAAAAAAAAAATAAAAATAAAAACTGATGATACGGTGGACAAGGCCACTAAGGTGGTTTATTCTCTTAGCTGGTTGATGGCCAATGTCGGAAGGCCTCGGTCCAGTCGTAGAAGGCTGTTAATGTCTTCGGTCCATCCAGTCCATACTATATTATACGGTGCGGAGGTGTGGGCAGACGCTCTCAATAAGGTGGTATATAGGATGCTGCTCGCCCGAGTGGAGCGTCAGGCAGCACCAAGGGTAGCATCTGCCTACTGAACAGTTTCTGAGCCCGCCGTCCTGGTGGTTGCTGGAGTCATCCCTGTCAAACTTTCGGCGGCGAAGAGAAAGGCAATTTATCAGCGCCGTGGGGAGGACCAGGCACGAACAGAGGAACGCACCCGCACCTACGAGCTGTGACAGGAGAGCTGGGAACATGAGACACGGGGACGCTGGACCAGGTGACTGATACAGAAAGTCCAACCTTGGGTTAATCGGCGGTGCGGACAGGTGGACTACGCTTCTACCTCACCCAATATCTGACTGGTCACTGCTTTTCCCGCGGTCATACCTGTTCAGGGTGGGCAAAGCCGTGTCACCCGATTGCATATACTAACCATGCACTCCCGATGACGTGGAACATACCTTTTTCAACTGCCAGCGTTGGGAAATGCCCCACCTGGAGGCATTTCATACCCCACAACATTGTTTAAGAAAATAGCTGACAAAGTTACGTTACATATACATGTGGGTGGGAGAGGGTTGAGGCTTAAGTCTAGTCAATGCTTAATTTATGCATTGTCACAGGGAGGGGAGTAGGACAGGGTTTAAAAATGACGAAAAAACGTAATGTAGCATGTGGATCACCCCTTATATAAAATTTTTTTTTTTTTAATTCAAGTCCTCTGTAATTTACTGACCTTTAAAACTCACCGTTAGAGGTTTTGCTTTTTACAAATTGAAGAGGAAGTCTACTGATTTCTAGAATCAATATTGCACTAAGCATTTTCCTGCCCTCCGCCAATACTTCATGTACTAGAGTGTCACTCGTTCCTAACTTCAGGAAATGCAATCTTGTGAATATTAGGAAGGAACTCCAGGAAATTGATCTTTGCACTTTCTTTAATCTCCCACCCACCTCCACATTGCCACCCCTCGATGTAAACTCTTACTTTTCAAGTTTTGTCAATGTGGTAAAAACGTGTGTACTGAGGAATACTCCTGTTATCAAGATCGGAACATCTTTCCCTCCTTGGTTTAGTCCCCAGCTCAAGAAACTAGTCATGGAGAAGAAAAGACTGCATCTTATGTACAATTCTCTTAAGAGAACTTTCAATGCTAACTATTGTTATGCATTTTCACGGGCACGGTCCCATTGTAAATAGCTTTCCATCGAATGTTTCAACAACTATATCAACCACATTCAGGAAGTTCTGCCCTCAAATCCTAAAAAGTTCTGGGACTTTGTCAACTCCATTAAGGGAAATCAAACTACCCCCTCGATGTTAACTTATAATGGTATAAGTGTAACAGACGATGTGGAGAAATGTGAATTGTTTGCAGATTTCTTTTCCTCCGTTTTTTCTGTTCCCCTACATCAACCCTCTCAACCTGGGTACCATGACTCATGCAGTCTCATGTCGTCCTGCTCCTTTACAGAGGAAGAAGTGATGAAGACTCTTCTGAGCCTTGATGCAAAAAAAGGTTGTGGGCCTGACTCGATTCCTCCAATAATTCTCCAGTACTGCCACTCTCTTTTGGCTCGTCCTCTCCAGGAACTCTTTAACTTGTCCGTACGGAGTGGTGTGTTTCCAGAGGCACTGAAGATCAATTATGTTGTACCAATACATAAATCCGGCTCGATCTCTGATGTGAACAACTATAGGCCGATTGCTATCCAGTCTGCTATTTCGAAGGTCTTCGAAAAACTGATTCTCTCAAGAGTCTTCCCACTACTCCAAAGCTCTATTTCTCCCTACCAGCATGGCTTCTCACCGGGTAGATCTTCTATGACTAACTTGATCAAGTTTCACTCCGACATCATATCCTCGTTCACCAGTCGAAAGCAGGTCAACACCATATTCCTAGACTTTTCCAAGGCTTTTGACAGGGTCAGCCGCCCTCACAGTTGAATTAATGAATAAACCTTTTACAAATTCTAAGGCTTTATTTGAGTAAAAACCAACATTACAGAACAACACAAATAAACAAGTTAAATTTGCATGGTAACCAGGACAGCTGATCAAAGTTGTAATATCAAGGATATTAGAAATCATCACATTCTCCCCTGGTTAAAATTGTGTGCATAATCTTTTAGGTATTTTAGAAGTCTTTTCTCCCTGAATGGTCTTTGAGAAGTTACTGGTAAATTAGGTACACTTTCACTTGTTTCCATATCATCGGTTGGATTTTCATTTATTTGTACATCATCATTTTGTGCCTCATCTTGTTCTTCTTGAGAATTTGATGTCTGGGCCATAGCAGTGTCGGTTTCATCTCTGAGAAGTCTCACATCCCCTCGAGGAGCGAAATGCTTTAGAGACATGTTCGATTCTTGTCCATTTTGATTTCGAACACGAGCATACTGAGGGTTAGCTTCGATAATCTCTACTTCATCCACTTTCTCATCGTACTTGCTTGACTGATTATGGCGTTTTAGTAGAGCTGGTCCAGGAAAACTTAGCCATGTGGGCAAAGCAATTCCATTGCTTGATCTCCTAGAGTGCACAAAAAAGCGTTCGTGGGGAGTTGCATTGGTAGCCGTACACAGTAAAGATCTAATAGCATGCAATGCATCATTGAGAACACGCTCCCACTGCCTAATTGGTAAATTCTTTGTCTTAAGTGCAAGGGTTATTGTTCTCCAAAGTGTTCCGTT